CCGATGCGGGACTCGATCCCAGGACCCTGAGATCATGACCTGAGCCGAAGGCAGACGCTTAACCATCTGAGTCACTCAGGCGCCCCCATTGATAGGCTTTAAAGCTCCTGTATCTCCTCTGTATCTGGTTATTCTTTCTCCTGAGGTTTATAGTTGTATCTCCTGTATTTTCCCAAGCCAGTGTCTTCGGTTTGGACTAAAGATACAGGCATATTAGCTAGCCAGGAAATTCATGGAAAGCTGCCCTTCTGGAAGTCCCAGGCAGCCAAAGGACCTGGAGTCCTATCTCCGTCTGTAATTAGGGTGGAGTGGGCTGTTAACACCAGGTAGGACCAAAACCTCAGCAGGGAGGGATTTGGAGAATATTACTAGACTCTCTAAAATAACCAACTGGTTAGTTATACATGCTTTCCCTAGTCAGTTAACCTCTAAATAATTTTATGTTGTATGTGATTAAATTTTTGGACCCCACTTACCACATTTTAATGGTATTTTATTGTATTTAGACTTAGACTTGCCTGTTAGTGTGTAGAGTTAATGTAGTAACGTTGATTTTTCACATTTCTGCTGTAACACAGTATATTCCTGAAAAACATTCTGTTTTTTAAAATCAACACTCTAAAAATGACAGTATTTGTGGGGAAGATAGGGCTGAGAAGACGTATATATTTGACATTATAACCAGAGCACTGAGATTATTTTTAATTGAGATATAACTGACATATAGCATTATGTTAGTTTTAGGTGTACAACATAATGATTCAATGTTTGTATCATAAAATGATCACCACAGTAAGTTTAGTTAATAGCCAATGTGTTTTTTTTAAGTATAATCGACATGCAATGTTATATTAGTTTCAGGTGTACAGCATATTGATTTGACAATTATGCACATTGCTCAGTGCTCACCATCTGTCACCATACAACGTTATTATTATTATAGACTATTCCCTGTACTATTCTTTTCATCTCTGTGACTTACTTATTTTATAACTGGAATTTCCTCTTAATCCCCTTTATCTATTTCTCCATAGCCAAGATATGAAAGCAACCCAAGTGTTCATCAATAGAAGAATGGATAAAGAAGATATGATACATACACACACTAAAATATCACTCAGCCATAAAAAAGAATGACATTTGATATATTCTTTTTGCATATATTCTTTTTTTTTCCTAAGATTTATTTATTTTAGAGAGCACATGAGGGGGAGAGAGAGAGAAAGTCTTTTTTGTTGTTGTTCTGTTTCGCTTTGAGGGACAGAAAGTGTTAAGAAAACTCCACACTGAGTGTGGAGCCCGACTCAGGGCTTGATATCACGACCTAAGCCAAAATCAAGAGCTAGAAGCTTAACTGACTGAGCCACCCAGGCGCCCCTCCTAGATATTCTTAATATAAAAGTTCTGCTACAGTAATATGGGACTTTACCTTAAACAAGTTGTGGTAACCTGGAAAGGCACAGTACGGGAGTATTGAAGCTGAATTCTGGAGACTAGAACCAAATGCACAAATATTGGGGAGAACCACACAATAAACACTTCAAAGATACCAGTTTGCATGTGGCCTAAGCCAAAAGGAAGAAAATAGGCTGGGGTGCCTGGGTGGCTCACTCGGTTAAGCGTCTGCCTTCAGCTTGGGTCATGATCCCGGGTCCTGGGATTGAGCCCCACCTCAGGCTCAGCAGGGAGTCTGCTGCTTCTCCCTCTGCCTCTCCCCTGGCTTGTGTACTCGTTCTCAAATAAATAAATAAAATCTTAAAAAAGAAAACAACAGGCTAAAGGGCATCATGATCAGTAGTACTATATTCCTCTGTGGTTTGCTGTGTTCAGTTCTGTTGATATACTTTGTGTTTACCTGCAGATACTTCAAGGTACAAAACATTAAATGTGCTAGGAAAAAATCACTTGTGAACCAGTTCAACTTCCAGGTTATATTTACTCCCCCAGTTAACAATCATGTCTGAGCTCTTTCCTGTAACTGTTACAGATAGACATTTTCTAGCAAATGGACTGTCTCCTTTCTCCAAGATTAGAACCTTAGTACACATATTATTTCTCCACTTTCTTCTTGCTAAGATTGTTATTAACAGTTATTTAGATTTTGTAGTAAATTTTACTGGTTTCTTTATCTTTTGAATTTGGAAATATGCCATTAGTATATAATTTTTACTATAATCCTTTCTGATATGTTTTATAGATAGTAAACTTTCTGAGTCTTGTCATATCTGGAAATGTCTTGATTTGCCCTCCCTCTGAACAGTAGTTTGACCAAGTAAAAATTTTAAGTTTATAATCATTTTCCATTGTCTTTGCATCTAAAATTACTGGTGAAAAGGCTGATGATTATCTGATTCTTTGTACTGTTGTAGATAATCTGTTATTTTCTTCATGGGAACTTGTAAGACCTCATTTCTATTTTTGATGTTCTGAAATTTAACACAATTTATATAAGTTCCTTTTTAATTCATTCCTGGTTGATACCTGGTGTGCCTTTTCATTTGTAAGGATTCGTGTCTTTCTAAACTCTGATTTTCTCCTTATTTTCTTTAATTAATCCCTTCCTTTTTTATCTCCATTCTCTCCTATTAGCTGTTGGAATATTTTTGTATCTCGTGTCTCTTAATTTTTCTTTCAAGCTTTTCATACTTTTGTCTTTTTATGTGAAATTCTATAAAAATCCCTTAGTTCTTTTATTTCATTAATTTGTTCTTCAGTCCTGTTTATTTTACTCTTAGGTTTATCTATTGAGTTTCACACTCCAGGAATCATGTTTTTCATTTCTAAAATTCTAGTTGGTTCTTTTTTCGTAAGTCTGTTTTTTGTGTCATGCTGTAATATTCTCATTTAAGGATATTTATTAGATTTTTTAAATCTACTTCTTTGTGTTCCATTAACCTTTTTCCTCAGGTATTCTCTTCATTGAGTTTTGTTGCTTCTCTTTCAAGGTGGTCTTTTTTCTTATATTTGGTAATTATTGGTTGTCTCCTTGTTATTGCTGGTGTTCCCCGTTAGTCTGAGAGTTCCATATTGTTGAATACAGTTTGCCTCTGATGTGAAGGTAGTGGTAGGATATGCCAAGGGCTGACCTCCCTAATTGTCCAGCATGTTGCCATACTCAGAGTGCTTCTCTGTGTCTGAGGCCCAAGCTCCTCTACTCACAGATCCCACCAAAGGACAGCCTCATTGTTATTCATTTCTTCCCATAAACTGGGGGTGCAATGGGCTGTTGGAGAAGAAGGTAGAGAAGGATGCTGTGTACCTAACTGTTCATACTGGGGAATTCCAGCCAGTAATCACACAGGTGGCCCCAGAGTCCCTTCCAGTTCCCAGCTTATCTGTCTTTGGTATCTGCTTTTGGAGCCACCCCTTCATTTTGCATCCTGTGGTCTGTGGCTTCATCTTTCATTCTTTTTTTTTTTTTTTTTTAAGATTTTATTTACTTATTTGAGAGAGAGAATGAGATAGAGAGAGCATGAGAGGGGGGAGGGTCAGAGGGAGAAGCAGACTCCCTGCTGAGCAGGGAGCCCAATGCGGGACTCGATCCCGGGACTCCAGGATCATGACCTGAGCCGAAGGCAGTCGCTCAACCAACTGAGCCACCCAGGCGCCCCTTCATCTTTCATTCTTGTGTTACATTTCTTTCACTTTTTTTTTTTTTAAAGGTTTTATTTATTTATTTGACAGAGAGAGACACAGTGAGAGAGGGAACACAAGCAGGGGGAGTGGGAGAGGGAGAAGCAGGCTTCCCATGGAGCAGGGAGCCCGATGCAGGGCTCGATCCCAGGACTCTGGGATCATGACCTGAGCCGAAGGCAGACGCTTAACGACTGAGCCACCCAGGCGCCCCACATTTCTTTCACTTTTCAAGGATTCTTTATAATTGCTATTCAGTCAAAAACACCTCTTATTTTTCCACATTATCATGGATTGTACAAGTGCACTGTATATAGGCGTACACGTACAGATGTGTGTATCTTCTCCGTCATTTGTAGGTTTTGGGGGTGAGAAGAATAGAGCATGTGCTCAGTCTATTATCTTGATCCCAGATCTCCAAAGTGTGAATATTACTAAAATCTGTTGAAATGTTATGAGAATCTGTTCACAACTGTCTCCTTTATTCTTTAATGTTGTATTATAATTTGTTGCTCTTTAGCAGGTAGAAATAATGATACAGAGGTTATTATAAGCATATCATTTCCTCTACTGTGGGTAACATTAAATGGTATAAAATTACCAAGGATTGGGCGCCTGGGTGGCTCAGTTGGTTAAGCAACTGCCTTTGGCTCAGGTCATGATCCTGGAGTCCCGGGATCGAGTCCCACATCGGGCTCCCTGCTAAGCAGGGGGTCTGCTTCTCCTTCTGACCCTCTTCCCTCTCGTCCTCTCTGTCTCATTCTCTCTCTCAAATAAATAAATAAAATCTTTAAAAAAATAAATAAAATCACCAAGGATTCTACTGCTGTGCAAGAGGTTATTTGTAGGTTTGGCTCATGCCTTTGAAACCAAATCATGCATTGATTCGTACTATAAATGTGAATATGATATAAATATAAATATGTGGATATATAAATTTGAATATAAATATTCCTGCTATAAACATTTACTGCAAGCCTTCTAAATGTTAGTCGTGTGTAAGGCTGTATGAGTAAAAATATGACTACAAGATGGTCTCCACCATGGAGAAATTCATTCTGGGGAGGGAGGCAAACTTGTGTGTATAGATTATAAGTGTTGTTAGTGTCATGGGGGAAATAAAAGAAGCAACAATTAGCTTCCAGTCATGAAATCTTGAATGGAAATGTGTAATGGTCAGTACATTGAGATATTCCAGTTTCATCTGTATGTTTTTGAATATTCTGTAGTTTCTGGATTTTTCCCAGTGTTCTGTCAGTGGAAATACTGACAGGAATTCAGAATTCTGACAGATAAGGATGCATGAAAAGAAAAGGTTCATGTGAAGAATGTTGGTGATCCAGGTCAAATTTGGGAAATGTGTAAACATGACAATGAGTACAAAGGTAAGGTATCTTCCTAAGTTTTTCTTTTTAACTAAGCTTTGTTTTCTTGCAGTGTTCATAGTTGGGATCATGTTACTCAGGGTCTGGTGGAACTTGGCTTCATTTTAATGGATTCATATGGGCCAAAGAAGATTCTTGATGGAAAAACTATTGAAACCGGCTCAGGTCTTTCAAAAATACCAAACCAGCATGCATGTAAGCTGGGTGCTAATATCCTGTTGGAAACTTTTAAGGTGAGTCTCTAGTTTGGCAACCATTCCCTAATTTGGTAAAATTGTATTATAAACAAGGCATGGCATTTGCTTGGGAGCTTGGAGGACAAGGCAATTTGAGTATGCAGCAGTTTCCAGGAACAGAGGCTGGGATAGTAATTGAAACTACTACAACAAGTAATTGATAGAATATTTGCTTTTTCGTCCTTTATTTATATGAGGTTTTTATTTATTTTAATTTCTTCTTTTTCTGTTCCTTAGAAGTTTGAATATAAGTTAGCTTTTCATGATTTACTCTTCTTCCTCCAGTAGTAAATAATTTTTGATCATATTCTGTTTTGGGCCATGCTTTTGGATGCTATTATACAAAAAATAATCTTTTAGATTATTTTTAGATAATGTAGAACTGTAGAACATCAAGCTTGAATCATGCTTCTCGGTTCATTGTTTTTGAAGAAACCAAAATAGTTCTTACATCTTTAAATTCATTACCATATAACGACTGTCATTTCAATCTTAATTTCTGAAACAGCTTTCAAAAACGCATTTCCTTTCAATTAAAACAAAAGCTAGGTTATGTCTGAGGCTAAACAACTTTGCTAATGATTCCTCTATGTCATTTTCTTGACATTGAATTAATGTAGCTACACGCCAAAAGTGTCTGCTGAAAATGTTATTTGGAGGCTAATTTGAATGTAAATCTAGTGTTCTGATCCGGAACTATCAAGTGAATGTGTATAATACTCCTTGAGAGTTGTCTGTTAGATGATATAAATGACCCTTTTTAATAGTAATCTGATTAAAAGAGTGAGAGATTTTAATATTTTTTGTTTTAAGATTAATGCTTTTTTAAAACTAGTGAGGTTCTCTTTGGTTTCACAAAGATGTTGTCTTTGTTAAGGCATCTATAAAGCATATAATTTACTACTAATTTAGTGTTAGTCTGAGGTCTGAAAGAAATTAGTCTGTACCTTAAAGTAATCAAGTTGAGGTAAGAATTTTAATGAAAATTTGAGTGAAAATTCAAAACAGATTTTTTTTTTTTTTTTAGGTGACTACTGTGCTTCCAGAAACTGAGGAAGGGTTTGGTGAAGATTTTTCAGATTTCCAGAAATTTTCATGGGCTTTTAAATTTTCAGATGAAAGTCATACATAGCGTACTGTCAGAAATAAGGGTTTTGGCATGTAATGGATACCTAAGTAGAATTATTCCTGTTTGATGCTGAACCTAACACATAGTAGTACTTTCATGTGAGCTCTCTTGTAGGCTAATAAACATGGTAGTTTGCCCTGCTAATGAATCTTCTGAGCACAGAATAAGGATAGAATTGAGTGATTCTGTCTTTCCAGACGATTCACAGTATATTTGTCTTTGAAATAAACAGTCAAGTTTTACCCATATCCAAACTGTTCCTCATTCTGCCTAACATGAATTGATGCAGTTGTAAGCTGAAGGTCACCATGGAATATTTTATTGACTGTTCTGTTCTTTTTAGATCCATGAGATGATCAGACAAGAAATTCTGGAGCAAGTACTTAACAGGGTTGTTACCAGAGCATCCTCTCCCATCAGTCATTTCTTAGGTATTGAACTGTGAAAGGGTGAAAAGGTGTGAAAGTTCTAAGGAATATTTTCATGTAAATATCATACTGTTTTGGTCCTGGAATTTTTTTTTTTTTTTTTTTAATGTGGCTCTTGAACTCAGATGCTGAGATCAAGACCTGAGTTGAGATCAAGAGTCAGACACTTAACTGACTGAGCCACCCAGGCGCCCTGGTCCTGGAAGAAAATTTTTAATGATGCAGTACTTTAATGCAGTATCTTTGATTATGATGTCAATGAGACATAAGTCCATTTACATCGTGGCCGTCAAGAAGGAAAGGAGCATATATAACTAATGAGTAAAACTATCTTGCATCAGCTCTCTTCTGTTTTACTGTTTCTGTAGTGAGTGTTGTACTTATGCTGCAACTCATTGACCACCCATCTCCTTAACCCTTGACATTCTAGCTTCAGTACTCCTCTCTTTGTATTTTAATACATATTTTCTAATGCCAAATCCACTGGTCTTTTCTTAGCCACCGACTTTCCTAATTTCTGTATCATTCAACACCATTTACAATTTCCCTGAAACTTTCTTAGATAGGTTCTCTGGTAACTAACAGTTTGCTTCGTATCGTGCGTGTGATCAGTTCTTCTCTTCCTCCTTTAGTGGTTCCTTTTCTTCTAACCTTAAGCATCAAGATTCTGCAAAGTTCAGTCCTTGACACTCTGTTCTACTTTTTTTCCTTCTTTACAGCTTTATTGAAGTATAATTGAAGTACAGTAATCTCTACATATTTAAAGTCTAAGAGTTTGATGACTTTTGCCATGTGTACAGCTGTGAAACCATCTACACAATGAAGATGAACTATCACCCACAGATGTTTCCTGGTGCCTCTTTGTAATCCTTTCCTCCATCCCACTCTTGTTCCCCACCGCCTATCTCCAGATGAGTCTGCTTTCTGTCTATAAATTAAATGCCATTTTTTGAATTTTATGTAAATGGAATCCTACTGTATGCACTCCTTTTTTTGTCTGACTTCTTTCACTTAGAATAATTTTTCCATGGTTGTTGCATGGATCAGTAGTTGGTCCCTTTTTATTAGTAGTAGTAATACCTGGTGAGAATATGACCTCAGTTTATTTATTCATTCGCCTGTGGACAGGTTATGTAGGTTGTTTCTGTTTTGGGGCTATTATGAATAAAGCTGCTATGAACATTCATGTTTAAGTCTTTCTGAGGAAATACGCTTTCATTTCTCTTGGGAAAATACCTGGTAGTGGAATGGGTGCATTATATGGTAGATCTATGTTTAATAGTTAAGAAACTGCCAGACTGTTTTCCAAAGTGGTTGTACCATTTTACATTTCTACCAACAGTGTTGCTTGTCACTCCACATTGTGACCAATACTTGGTATGGTTAGTCTTTTTAATTTTAGTCATTCTGATAGGTGCATGATAGTATCTCATTGTGGTTTTCAAATGTCTGTTGAAATCTTTTGTCCATTTTTAAAAATTGAGTTGTTTGCCCCCTTATTACTGAGTTGTAAAAGTTCTTTATATATTCTAAACACAAGTCCTTTGTCAGATATGTGGGGTTTTTTTTTTAAGATTATTTATTTATTTATTAGAGAGAACACAGAGGGAGAGTCAGAGGGAGAAGCAGACTCCCCGCCGAGTGGAGAGCCCAACGTGGGGCTCGATCCCAAAACCCCAAGATCACAATCTGAGCCGAAGGCAGACTCTTAACTGACTGAACCACCCACACACCCCCGATATGTGTTTTGCAAATATTTTCTCCTCGTCTGCGGTTTGACTTAATGTTTGTAACAGTGTTGTTTGAAGAGCAAGTATTTTTAATTTATCAGTTATCAATTTATCAGTTTCTTTTTATATTTCCTGCTTTTTGTGTCATGTGTTAAAGAATCCTTGCCTACACCGAAAATCACTAAGATTCACTAAGATTTTTTCCTCTGTTTTCTACTAGAAGCTTTATAGTTACAGCTTTTATACTTAGATCTGTGATCCATTTTTGTTAAATTTTATATATGGTGTGAAGTAACCGAGTCCCCCGACCCTTTGGCTATTCAGTTGCTCCAGCACAATTTTTTAAAAAGATTGTCTTGGCATTACCATGGAATCTTGGAATTACCATGGCATCTTTGCTGATATCAACCAACCATATATATGTGGGTCTATTTTAGGAATCTGTTCCAATGATCTGTTTATTGTCTTGATTAATATACCTTTATAATAAGTCTTAAAATCAAGTAGTGTAAATCTTTCAACTTTGTTCTTTTTCAAAATAGTTTTGGCTAATCTAGGTGCTTTGCATTTCCAAATAAGTTGTAGAATTAGCTTGTCAAATTTTTTTTTTTTTTTAAAGATTTTATTTATTTATTTGAGAGAGAGAGAGCAGGAGAGGGGGGAGGGTCAGAGGGAGAAGCAGACTCCCTGCAGAGCAGGGAGCCCGATGCGGGACTCGATCCTGGGACTCCAGGATCATGACCTGAGCCGAAGGCAGTTGCTTAACCAACTGAGCCACCCAGGCGCCCTAGCTTGTCAATTTTTATAAAAGACCTGCTCAGGTTTTGATTGAGATTTCCTTGAATGTATGGATCAATTTGGGAGACAATTGGCATCTTAACAATATTGAGTCTTCTAACCCATCCATGAACACAGTACATCTTTCCATTTATTTAGATCTTTAATTTCTTTTAGCAATGTTTGTAGACTTCAGTATGGATCTTGCATATCTTTTGTCAGCTTTATCCCTAAGTATTTCATTTTTTTGATGCTATTGTACATGATAATTTTTAAAATTTCAATTTCTAATTGTTAATTGTTAGCATGTAGAAATGGTTGCTTTTTTATACTGATCTTATATCCTGCAACATTGCTAAACCCATTTTATTAGTTATAATTGCTTTTTGACAGTTCCTTAGGATTTTCTACATACAAATCATGTCACCTGCAAATCAAAACATTCCTGATATCAGTAATTTGCATCTTCCTTATCAGTTTGGGTTAGAGACTTGTCAGTTTTACTGATCTTTTAAAGAATGAGCTTCTGGTTTGAATTCTCTCCATTGTTTTCTGTTTGCAATTTCATTGATTTCTGCTTATTTCTTCTTTTTTTTAAAATTTGATTTATTTACTTGAGAGAGAGAGAGAGAAGGAAAAAAAAAACACAAGTGGGGGAAGGAGCAGAGGGAGAGGAAGGGGGAAAGAATCTCAAGCAGACTTTGTGCTGAGCTCGGAGCCTGACACAGGGCTTGATCACATGACCCTGAGATCATGACCTGAGCTGAAACCAAGAGTTGGATGCTTAACAGACTGAGCCACCCAAACACCCTTCTGCTTCTTATTTCTTACCCTTTGCTTGCTTTGGGTTTATTTTGCTCTTGTAAGTGGTTGAAAAAAAATCAAAAAGAATATTTCATGTCCTGTGAAAAATTTAGATTTCAGAGTTCATAAAGTACAGTATTATTGGAATATAGCCAAGCTTAATTATTTATGTGTTTTCTATCTTGCTTTTACGTTATACCAGCAGACTTGAATAGTTGTCATTTATACAATGTGGCCCATAAAGCCTAAAATAGTTACTATCTGGCCCTTTATAGAAAAAGTGTGCCAACTTGTGGTCTCTTATATTTACCTGGATGTTTACATTGCTTTTTCTTCCTTTCTGATGTTCCAGGTTTCCTTTTGTTTGTGTGAAGGGTTTTAACTAACATTTGTTTAATAAAAACAGGGCTGTTCAGGTTATCTAAATCTTCTAGGTAAACATTGGTAGTTTATGTCTTCAAGGAATTTAACCATTTCATCTTGATTTATCAAATTTATTGCCATAAAGTCATCAGATTCCTTTTAATGACTCTAGGTTCTATATCGATGTACCCATTCTTATTCCTGAGAGCCATGATGTGCATCTTCTTTTTTCTTATCACTGAAGCAAAAGATTTATCAATTTTATTAATCCTAAAAAACCAGCTTTTGGTTTCACTGAATTTATGTTTTTTTTAGTTTCATTTATTTCTGCTCTTTTTTGTTTCCTTTCTACTGCTTGCTTTGGGTTTAAACTGTGCTTTTTTTGGTTAGAAGCTTAGGCCATTAATTTGAGACTTTTTTTTTTAATACAAGCATTAAACTATAAATTTCCATCAAAAATTGCCTTAGCTACATCCCATAAATTTTGTTTTTAATTTTCATTCAGGTCCATATACTTTCTAATTTCCCTTGTGATTTGTTCTTTGACCTATATGTTATTTAGAAGTATGTTGTTCAGGGCGCCTGGGTGGCTCAGATGGTTAAGCGTCTGCCTTCGGCTCAGGTCATGATCTCGGGGTCCTGGGATCGAGTCCCGCGTCGGGCTCCCTGCTCCTTGGGAGCCTGCTTCTCCCTCTGCCTTTCTCTCTCGCTCTGTCTCTCATGAATAAAAAAAAAAAAAAGTATGTTGTTCAGCTTTTGAATATTTGGAGATTTTCCAGCTATTTTTCTGTTGTTGATTTCTAATTTGTTATAAAACATACTGTCTATGACATGAGTGTTTTTTTAAGCTTATTTATTTATTTAAGTAATCTCTACCTCCAGCACGGAGTCCAAACTCAAAACCCTAAGATTAAGAGTCATATGCTCTTGTGACGGAGTCAGCCAGGTGCTCCTATGACATGAATTTTTAAAAATTCATTGAGACTTGTTTCATTCTCAGAATATGGTCTATTTTGAAAAATGTTCTGTGTGCTTTTGTGAAAAGAATAGGTGCAGTTTCCCATAACTCAAATTAGATGATTGAAGTCTTCTGTATCCTTACAGATTTTCTGTCTACTTCTTAAGAGAGGAGTGTTGAGATCTATGACTTTGTAATTATAGATGTGTCTGCTTCTTCTAGTTCTGTCAGTTCTTGCTTTATGTATCTTAAAACTTTGTTAATAGGGACATAGTCATTTAGGATTGTTATGTCCTCTTGGTTAATTGACCTGTTAATTGTTACGAAATGATCTTTTTTGTTCCTGGGAATATTATTTGTTCTGAAGCCTACTTTGATATTAATAGAATTCTCCAGTTTTCTTTCTTTCTTTTTTAAGATTTATTTATTTTAGAGAGAGCATTGAGTGGGAGGGGCAGAGGGACAGGGAAAGAGAATCTTAAGCAGGCTCTGCGCTGAGTGCAGAGCTCAATGTAGGGCTCCGTCTCACAACCCTGAGATCACGACCTGAGCCAAAATCAAGAGCAGATGCTTAACCCACTGTATCACCCAGGCACCCCTCTCCAGTTTTCTTTTGGTCAGTGTTAGCGTGGTATATTTTTTTCATCTTTTTAGTTTTAACTTATTTATATCTTTATAGTTAACATGGGTTTCTTGTAGAAAACATACAATTGTGTCTTTTTTAATCTTTTTTGATCATCTTGTAATTTAAATTGGGGCATGCTGTTTACATTTAATGTGATTTAAAAAATGTGATTATTATCTGGCTCTTTGTTTTCTATTTTGTCCATCTGTACTTGGTTCCCTTTTTTCTCCTTTTCTGCCTTCATTTGGGTTGAATTTTTTTTTAATTCCATTTTATCTTGCTAATTTGATTACTTCTACCTCTATTTTATTTTCTTTCGGGTTGCTTTAGCGTTTATGGTACATCTTTAACTTACTATAGTTTACCTTTAAGTAGTGGTATACCTCAACAGTATACATCCATTTCTTACCTCTGTTCTTATGATTTGTGCTATTCTCATACATTTTACTTCTCTATTTATTGAATTATGTCTACATGGTTATGTTTGCTTTAAACAGTCAATTGTTTTTCAAGAATTTTTTAAAATAAGAAAATGTCTTTTATTTTTACCCATGCATTTACTATCTCTGGTGCTTTTTCCTTTGTGTAGATCTAGATTTCTTTCTTTCTTTCTTTCTTTTTTTAAGAGTTTATTTATTTGGGGCGCCTGGGTGGCTCAGTTGGTTAAGCGACTGCCTTCGGCTCAGGTCATGATCCTGGAGTCCCAGGATCGAGTCCCGCATCGGGCTCCCTGCTCAGCGGGGAGTCTGCTTCTCCCTCTGACCCTCCTCCCTCTCATGCTCTCTGTCTCTCATTCTCTCTCTCTCAAATAAATAAATAAATAAATAAATAAAGAGTTTATTTATTTATTAGCACAAGCAGGGTGAGGGGCAGAAGGAGAAGCAGACTCCCCGCTGAGCAGGGAGCCCGATGCAGACCTTGATCACGAGACTCTGAGATCATGATTCAAGCTGAAGGCAGATGCTTAACTGACTGAGCGACCCAGGTGCCCCTAGATCCGGATTTCTATCCAATATCATTTTCTGTCTGCCTTTAACTTTTGATCTGCCATTGTTGGATTCTTCTGTATGTCACAAAAAGTTTTCATTTAGTGTTAGTTTTTTGGATTTTTTTGTTTTAATTTTTTTTTAATATTTATTTATTTGACAGAGAGGGAACAGCAGAAGCAGGGGGAGTGGGAGAGGGAGAGGGAGAAGCAGGCTTTCCACGGAGCAGGGAGCCCGATGGAGGGCTCCATCCCAGGACCCTGGGATCATGACCTGAGCCGAAGGCCAATGCCTAACGATTAAGCCACCCAGGCACCTCTACTGTTAGTTCTTTGAAAGGTATTTTTGCTCAGTATAGAATTCCAGATTGACAGGATTTTTTTTTTTTAAGATTTTATTTATCTATTTGACAGCAAGACAGGGAACACAAGCAGGGGGAGTGGGAGAGGGAGAAGCAGGCTTCCCGTGGAGCAGAGAGCATGATGCGGGGCTTGATCCCAGGACTCTGGGATCATGACCTGAGCTGAAGGCAGACGTTTAACGACTGAGCCACCCAGGTGCCCCGACGGTATTTTTTTCTCTTAGTGCTCTAAAAATGTTACTGTTCTTTTGGTTTTCATCATTTCTAATAAAAAGTCAGCTTTCGTTCATACCCTTTTCCTCTCTATATAATTTTTTTATTTTCAGATTTTCTCTTTATCAGTGGTTTTAAGCAATTTAATTATGTGCTTTAGTGTAGCTTTCTCCATGTTTCTGGTGGTTGGAGTTTGTCAGGCTTCTTGGATCTGTAGGTTTATGGTTTTCATCGAGTTTGGAACGTTTTGAGATTATTTCTTCAAAAACTTTTTTCTCTCATCTCCCTCCCGCTAGCACACACTTCCCCCACCCCCACCCCGGCCCCACAGCAGGACTTATGTAGTAGGCTGCCTTACATTGTTACATAGCTCACAGATTTTCATTTTTAGTCTTTTTTAACTGTTTCATTTTAGATAATGTGTATTGGTATAACTTCTAGCTCCCAAATCTTTTCTTCTGCAGTGATCTTTTCCTCTGCTATTGATCTCATCCAGTAAATTTTTCATATTTAGACATTTGTATCTTTCTGAGTATAGGACCTTTTATATTATGAGGTGTCTGCGCTGTGGTTCTTGTGAATGTGAACTATTTCCTGTCCTTTGTGACCTCTGAGAATATATCTGCCTGCTCCTTGCTGGTGAGTCTTTCCTTGGCTTATGGTAGCTTCCTTACAGTCATACACCTACCAGAGCACAGCTGACCTACAAAGGGGGCTTCTTGCACATCTCCAGAGCCTTCTTCCCATATAGCTCTTTCCTTTCTAGTACTGTGCCCTGTGAATTCTTGCCACCTTAGCTTTCCTGAATTCCCATCTCCATCCCTTTAAATTGGGAAAACCACTGGACTCGGAGTTTCCCCTCTCTGCTGCTGCCTTGAAACTCTCCAGGCAGTAAGATGGGACAGTCATAAGGCTCACCCTCTGTGTTTCCCTTCTCTCAGGGATCATGGTCCTGTACTACTTGTTGTCTGGTATCTGAAAATTATTGTTTAGTGTAATTTGACCTTTTTCGTTGTTATTGTTTAAAGTGGGAGGACAGGTCTCCTGGGGGGCTCAGTCAGTTAAGCGTCTGCCTTTGGCTCAGGTCATGATCCCAGGGTCCTGGGATCAAATCCCGCATCGGGCTCCTTGCTCAGCAGGGAGTCTGCTTCTCCCTCTGCCTGCCACTCCCCACGCTTGTGCTCACTCGCCCTCTCTGTCCCTCTGACAAATAAATAAAAATTTAAAAATAAACAAAGAAATAAACTGGGAGGATAAATCGATTCACCATTATTCCATGATGGTGGGAAGCAGAAGTCTGTTACTGCTTTTATACGTTCTCTTCCTTATAGATGTCATGCCTATTTTCATGGCTTCGGTTATTTTTGTGGACTTTGGTGGACATGGCTTCCAAATCTTTATGTCAGGACTGTCTTCTTTCCTGAGTTCAGTGCCTCCATTCCTGTTGGTTATTTCTAGTTAGGTTTTTCTTTTTCCTTTTATTTCAAATGCAATACAGTGTCCTTCAAACAAATTCCCCTTTCAGTTATTTGTATTTCTATTATTTAAAGCCTGGCTTTCCAAGTTCCAGAAGCTGGAATTCCTTTTTGTCTTCTCCAACATACTTGATACCTAAGTTCTCTCTTTTTTTCTCTTACTGTTCATTTTTTTCTTCATTTTGTACCCTTCTTCCCCACCCATTGCCTAGCTTGCAGTCTTACAGCCTTGCACTTAGACCATCGCCACAGCTTCCAACTGATGACCCTGCTTTCTCTTCTCTCTGCAGCAACTCAACCTGCATATTGCCACCAGATAAGTATTCCTAAAATACCTCTCTGTGACTCAAAAGTCACCAATACCTTCTTTAATAAATGATTAGCTCTTTATCCTGGCCCTTAAAGTCCTTGACAATTTGATCCATCCTGCCTTTTCAACATTCACTTCACTTACTTATTTTTCTGAATCCTTCACCCTGGGTTCACAGATTTCTCACTGTTTTCTGAATTTGTCCTGTATTTACTTTATGTATTTTGTCTCCTACTTTCCCTTTTATATCTAGTAGGCCTTTCTGGTTCTTGGTGCATCTGAATGTCAGCCTTCTTTCAGAATCCAGCTTAAATTCTTCTCTTTGTTCTCCAAAAGCACACCAACTCATGATAATCTCCTCTTCCTCTGAGCTCCTCTTTAGACTCTCTCTTTAACATTTAAGGAATGTTACATTTGCTAGGAATAATAAACTGTGTTTGGGATTATTAGATATTTGCTGTTGATCTGTTATTTACCTCTTTCATTCTTTCAGAATGTATTTTTCTTGACTCCTAACTAAATTAATATTCTTGAAGGAAGAATGACCATGTTTTATGGCTAAGACTATACTATGTATACACATAATAAAAGTTCATTTATTGATTTACTTTAGCTTGGAAATATGAAGATGTATGCTACTTGTCAGTAAAACGGATTTCTTCCCTTCTTTTAGATTAATTTTTATAGTCTTAATATTAGCACAGAACAAAGTTTGTAGTATTCTGGTTACGCTGACCATAGAAAAAGTATATAGGATCAGTAGAAATTTATTTTGCAGTATACTTCGGAAAAGAAACAAAAAACTTTTTACCATTTCATTTCTCATATTTATTTTCCTTTTACTTGTTAAATCTTTATTGTTTGAGGCAACTCACTATAGATTCTGTTTTTCAGATCTGCTTTCAAATATCATCATGTATGCACCCTTAGTTCTTCAGAGTTGTTCTTCTAAAATCACAGAAACTTTTGACTATTTATCCTTTCTGCCCCTTCAAACTGTACAAGGGCTGCTGAAGGCAGTGCAGGTAAGTCTTCTGACTCCGAAGGAATTTGACAAGACTAAGGTTGAAGTGCCTAATGGAAGTCAGATGTGATTTTTCATAAATATAAATGTCTGAGAAATTTTATATCCCTTGATTCTTAAGCATAGAGTTTTGTATTAAAAGGGCAGGGGCACTGAGCTAGACTCTGTTTCCAAGTTTACACCTTATTCCTGTCACAATTCTCTCTCCTTTGACTCATTTTCAAGTTAGTGAAGTGATTGAAAAGCCCTTAGAAAACTGAGGACAATAGGTTTAAAGGCATTAATGATTAGTTTAAATTTAGTATTTCTTTTTTTTTTAAAGATCTTATTTATTCATTTGAGACAGAGATACAGAGAGAGAGAGCATGAGCAGGGAGAGAGGCAGAGGGAGAAGGAGAAGCAGGCTCCCTGCTGAGCCAGGAGCCCGATGTGGGGCTCGATCCCAGGACCCTGGAATCATGACCTGAGCCGAAGGCAGATGCTTAACCATCTGAGCCACCCAGGCGCCCCTAAATTTAGTATTTCAAAGGATGCTATTGTCCTTATTACTAAGTGTAATAAATATTGAAACATGTATTTAAAAACAGAACCAGATTTCCCTCTATAAGCCTAATTGTAACAGTATTGGGTAGAAATGAGCTAAGGCTAATAAATTTGGGTTGTGTTTTTGTTTTTGGTTTTTTTTTTTACCCACTTACTCTTTGTCTTTCAGCCCCTTCTCAAAGTCAGCATGTCAGTGAGAGACTCATTGATAGTTGTCCTTCGGAAAGCCATGTTTGCCAGGTATGGAGCATCCCGTGAGACCCTAGCAAGTAATGCCTTCTGACACTACTCACCATCCTCTCTGCCATCTCCTCGTATAGTCTGTTCACAGTGGTCATGCAGATGTCTGACCCAACAGAACAGCTTCCATCAAGCAAGGCCTTGTGCAGCTTTCCTTCTCTCATTCCGTTTTCAGATTAACCATATAAAGACAGAATTATTACAGTTTTCACCATACAGATCAGGAAACTCTGGCTCAGAGACTTTCCAAAAGTCAAACGGAGGTTGGTGGGGCTAGAATTTGAGCTTGTGATCTCAGGTACGCTGCTAACACCCCTGGAATAATCTTCAGGACAAAGTTCGGTGCCAGTTGGCAACAGTTCTGAAGAGGAAAACACCTTAATTAAAATATTCAGGAAACTTACTCTAGTGAACATCGATCGGAATTGTGGTCTGGTGACTGTAGACCACATAAACTGTTAAGCAGTCTGAGGGCTTTTTTTTGGCTTAGCCAATGCGTCCTGACCTCTCTTCCTTTATTTCTGAGTTTATAAGCTAGAGATGATGATACTACCTCCTAAAAAGTATTATGAGACCAGTAATGGGTAGAAAGCATTTGGTACTTTAAATATGAGATGCTCAATATCACATTGGTTTTTTTTTTTTATAGTGCATTCATGGATATCCAGGGGAACAACTAGTAATTATCCCTCTTCTAGAATTGACAGTTTTTTGTTATTGCTTACCCAGAGGCATGTCTGCTAGGCCGAGGTTTGTATGTTGTGGCATCTCCATGAATTAGTCCGGGCTTCAGTGAGATGAGTGTATCATTTTTCTGAGTGGAGGGTTTACAAGGCACCAAGCACTAGACTCCTCTGTGAGGAAGGGAAGTAGTCCTTCAGGCATTTGGCCCATTGGATAGCTTCTTAGTACTCCTGTCCTCATTCCCCGCATAGAAGAAAGTATAGATAGTGTCATGAGGTTGAGTAGGTAGTGAAACGTCTTCTGAATTCCTCTACCACTAACTGCCAGGAACAGCTGATGCTTTATTTTGAGTATTTAAATTCATTTTATTTTGCTCTGTGCTTCATGGCATAGTCCTTCTCTGTATAGAGCTAACTGGACTTTTCTGACCCAGAAGCCTATTCCTGTGAACTTAGTACTGTTTGTTAACTACTTCTCTGTCTATTCCCGAGCTAGCCAGCTTGATGCCCGAAAATCGGCGGTTGCTGGCTTTTTGCTGCTCCTGAAGAACTTTAAGGTTCTGGGCAGCTTGTCGTCCTCTCAGTGCAGTCAGCCCATCGGCGTGAGCCAGGTAAGCGGTGTGCACACGGCACCATGGCATGTATCGGTCCAGGAGCTGATGGTGTGCAAGCTGTGCTTTCCTCCTCCTGTTCAGGTTGTACAAATGATCCTGAGACTGAGAGTCTGAGTCTAGATGCTATTATTATCCCCAGTTTTAATAGTTTATTTACTTTGCACATGAACTTTTATCAAGCCTAGTAATCTGAGAAAATAAAACTTTTCACAATTTTTTGGTAATCCGGACTTTGGAGCAATAAAATTGTTTTTATAACTTAAATTACGTACTATATGACTTATAAATAACAAGTTAATGTGACAGTTTTATCAGGAATCCTTTATTGCTTTAGTGTAATTATACAAAACTTCTGTTTATAACATATGGCACAGATTAAATATTAGGAGCACGGGGTATCAGTTTATTGTTATCAGCATCCCCATCTTAAGTATGAGAAGACTAAGGCCCAGGAAGGTTAAATAACTTGCCCAGAGTGATACAAGCAGCAACAGGTAGAGCGGGGATTCGATGGCTCCGTATGACCTACCTCGAGGACAGGCCTGTAGTAGTGATTACGAGTCTTGGTCTACAGTTGCTGGATTTATTATGTAAATCAAACAAGGGCTATTCTTTGTCTTGTCCATTTCTAAACTAAAAATTACCCACCTCTAAACCTCTCAGGATTTTGTGGAAGCAAAAAGAGCTAGATTCTGCTAGCTACTGAAGACTTAAAGGAAGCACTTTAGGTCTTTTAAGTAAAACCAAGTATATTATGACTCCTGGATTCTAGAGGCATGAAATCATCTGTGTGCCTTCCTAAGCAGCTGACTCTGTCAAGGAAGACCTTAAGGGATGGACAAGAGTTAATCTTAAAATGCTTGAAAATTGTTACTCTAAACCAGAATAAGAGTGGCACTTATCATAGCCTCGTGATGATTGTAATGTCAGCCTCAGTCCTGGGTTTTGGCATGTGAGGAAGGCTAAGTCAAAGTTTCTGACCAAGAACATAGGTTCATTTTACCTCCTTTATGAAAATTAATTTGGTAAAATACATAAAACTGGCCTCTCCTCCTTTCAGGTCCATGTGGATGTTCACAGCCGTTACAATTCTGTTGCCAATGAAACTTTTTGCCTTGAGATCATGGACAGTTTGAGGAGATGCTTAGGCCAGCAGGCTGATGTTCGACTCATGCTTTACAAGGTAAATCAGAATGGAAGGAATGTGTAGTTCACTCTTACTTGAGGCAATTAGGATTGGTAGTTTGTGATGGTTAGCCACAATTCCAAACACCCAGAAGAAAATCAAGATATTAAGCATAAATCACATTGTACAGTTTACACACAATAAACCTATCGTTTAGGGAAAGCTTTGTATCGGTGTAGGAGACTTTACTAGCCAGATTCCCAGCCACCCACCAAGGGTCAGTCTTGTAAGCAGGCTTTACTGAGGATAACAGTCTCAGACCTACTATGTTGACTCTTTTCTGCAGTCATCTGTGTGCAAAAAAGAATCTCTGCCCTTATCTAGCTCCAAATTTTAAAAATTAACTTGATATGGATCATAGACTAATCTGTTAGGATATTGGAGTTCATTTATTCATTAAAGATGTTACATCTCAGTTTGTAAAAACTCTTTAATATATTGATATTAACATTTTTGGTCATATTCATTACAAGTGTGTGCCAGATTGCCATTTGCTTGGTGGTGGTGGTGATGATGATGATGATACTTTTAGACCTACAAAAATACTAATTTTTGGTTCTTTTTTTATCTTTTCCTTTAAGATACGCTATTTTTATGTGTCAAGAGTCCATAGCCTTCCAATGAATATTCACTAATATTGTCTTCTAGTTTTTTATGATTTTGTTTTTTATGTTTAGCTGCTTAGTCCATCTGAAATTTGTCTTGCTATAATATATAAGGAGTTAACTTTTCTCCAGGTTAACCAGTTGTCCAGATATTATTGCCTTCTTTATGTGTACTAAGTCTGTTTCTGTTTTGTATGTTATTCCTTGATTACATCTATAGATTTTTTTGCCAAGACCAAAGTATCTTTTATCATTATACATTTATAAAAAATTAGGGCTAATTTTCCTTTGTGTCTTTTCTTAAGTTATTTTAGGGGGTCAACTCTCATTTGCTTTTTCTCAAAGATGAACTGTACAATCTCTTTTCCTGGTTCCAAAAAGAAAGTTCTCCCCAGGATTTTAATTTAAATAGGTTGGCGGGGGGGCAGAGGGAGAGAGAGGATCTTAAGCAGGCTCTGTGCCCAGCACAGAGCTTGACATGGGGCTTGATCTCACAACCCTGAGATCATGACCTGAGCCAAAGTCAAGAGTCGGATGTTTAACCGACTGAGCCACCCAGGCGCCCTTTCATTTAAGTAGTTTTAAACTATGACTGGGAAATTTGGGATGGGAAGAAATATCACAGTCATTTACATTAAGGTGCTTAGGGCCAGGAGACACTTTTGAAGCACTGGAAACTAAGTGGACATAAAGCCCTAGAAGAGAAGACTTAATGAAGGATGAGAGAAAAGAATGAAGGTTGGGACATTCTTGACTGTAAAAGAGCAAAGTATTCCAAAGCCTGAAGTGACCTGTTGTTTAAAAATTGTAACAGTTATGGTCAGTTTATTAATCCAGTTCTCAGTGATCAGAGATCTCTTTTTAACTCTTTTTAGGCAAATAATCTAAACTTCCTGAATTGTTTCTCCTTCTGCAAATATGGTCTCAATCTTTTTCAAAGAATTGAGAATAGGGTAAAATAAAGTATTGTTTCAAAGTTATGATTGTTCAAACCACTAGTATATCTGTTAAAGAGCTTACTATTTGTTTCCTCTTAGGGTTTCTATGATGTCCTTCGAAGGAACTCTCAGCTGGCTAATTCAATCATGCATACTCTACTTTCACAGGTAATACATGTTTTTTATTTTATGGCTATACAGAACAGATAAGAAGGCATGGAGAGATTGACATTTTCCAAACTTTTCAAAATATAAAATAATTCCCAAATAGTACGCTGGTTGGTACACTGTGAACATGTCTGGGTATGTGATGATGTCCTGATGTTTTATTTTAATTATCACTTATCTGTCCGCCCTATTGCCATCATCTTAACAGTTATCCTCCCAGTTAATGGTGTGCACCCTAAGTCAGAAGGACATTTTAAAGAACCATTTTTTTTTTTTTTAAGATTTTACTTATTTATTTGAAAGAGAGAGAATGAGAGCACATGAGAGGGGTTAGGGTCAGAGGGAGAAGCAG